ATCACAAAGATCATCAAACTCGTACAACTTCAATGGACCTTGCCAAAAGGTACCCGGGTTAGGAAGCGGGTCTAATAATCCGGCCGAGACGAAGAGGAAGAAGAGGATCAAGGCTTATAATGTGTTCACTGTGGAAGGCAAGCTTAAGAACAGTGTGAAGAACAGCTTCAAATGGATCAAGAACAAGTTCAGCGATATCCGATATGGTGTGTGAGTGCTATGCAGCTATATATATATATATATATATACTTAGATATAAAGATGAGAATATATATATATATATATATATATATCACTTGTTTCTGGTTTCATGAGGTAAAATAATGAAAAGGAAATTAGCATAAAGAAGCTTTTGTTGTCTGAAAATTAAGGAAAGGTTAATTAAAAGTGAAGCTGATTAATTATTTCTCGTTGTATGTACACATTATGGATCAGATTTATTTTGAGGTGTCAATTAATGAAAAATGGCATCTAGAGTTTTTCGCCCCCTTAGCTTCTCCTCTTCTTTCTCTATTTGAGATGGTGTTCATAAATTTATGTTAAATTTATGTTATTTAAGATTTTTAATCTCAGTCCCTCGTAACTAAGTTTTAATTGATTTCACTCCAGTTGTTGAGTTTGATAAAATTGGTGCATTTGAAGGCGCCAAAATTTTTTTTATTTATGTATCATTATTATTATTATTTGGTCATGAGAATTACTATTATTATTAATTATTATTATTATTATTATCATCGTCATCATCATGGTTTAATTAATTAGCTTAGCCTTGTAGAATTTTTCACAATGAAGCTAAATTCTCCTTCTCTAAATTCATCGGACAAGGAAACGTGACATGAATCGATGGCTGACAGACGTAAAGTCTTTAGGTACAAATATAATAATCGGTTAAAATGCTTTTCTTTTGGTATTTTTTTTTCAAAAAAATGCTGATGGACCTGTATTAATAAATGAAATATTTTTTTCTTTTAACCATATTTTAGAGTTAGAAAAATTTCTCTCCATTAGTGATCTGTTAATGGAGGAAATTTTTGCTCCTTTAAAAAATAATTTAAAGAGAAAAATGTCCTTTCTATTAGTATAAGTTGTTTCAGTGCTCCTCAAAAAAAAAATAAAGAAAAAAAATATACTTTAACTCTTTTAAATATGCAGATGATAATAAAATCTAGCAAAATATCATGATTCCTTTTAAGTCTTGAGAGATCTTTCTAACATTAATAATTATTTGTAAAATAACTAAAATATCCCCAGCTTAAAATAAAAACATGAATATTAGTGATTATATTAGTTTAAGCGATAATTATTTTTTCTGACAATAACTATAATAAAACAAGCAATTACAACTTCCTCGATGAAAATTTTTAATTTATTGAAATCCAAATGTTGTAAATATCTGTGATTATTTTATTTTGTATATGAAAATTTATAATTACTTATTCTATTTTGGTCATTAAAAAAATAATTATTACTTAAACTAAAATAATCATTAATATTTACTTGTAAATTAAAGTACCTTTTTTCTCATGTACTTTCTTTTAAAGAGTGCTGAGTATTTTATACTAATAAGTAGAGTACTTTTCTCCTTAAACTATTTTCCAAAAGAGCAAAATCGTCATTTGTGGAGGTATTTTTTGCTGTTTTGAAAAATGATTTAGGAGAAAAAATACAACACAAGGTACCCAACTCTCTTTGAAAGAAAGTAAAAAATATATTTTAACCCTATAATAATTTAAAGTGTCTAGTTTAACATTAATTTTTTCACTAAGCATCGGACGAAGTAATACAGCCAAAACATGCGAAAATTGGGAAAGTCAAATAATTGAAAAAATCGAACCCAAAATTATAATATATATATATATATATATATATAAACAATAACAAGTTATAGAGTTGGTAGTTTGGACAAGCCGATCTTATTCAAATTAAGCTTAAAGTATCATATCTGTTTAAAAAAGCCTATATAGACAAGTTCGATCCTAACTTTTTTCAACTGAATTTGAGCTAGTCTATCGAGTTTGACCAAAATTATCAATTCTTTATACATATAAATCTGATAATTCTAGTGCCTAAACTTATTTAGATTAGACTCAATTTGAAAATGGCTTATTTGAATCAGGGTTAAAGTATCTTACCTTTTTAAAAAAGCCTATATAATTAAGTTGAGCTAACTTTTTTCGAGTAAATTTGAACTGACTTATTAAACTTGGCTTGAACGACTAGCTCTAACAAGTTGAGAAAAAAGTTCTTTTATATTCATCAAAATTATATTTTAAGAAAAATCTAAAAACACGGAAGTACAATATAGAAAGAAAGTAATATTTAGTAAGGAAACCATGACTTGTATAGTTTGACACTCATTTCCCCTAATTTGCAATTTTGTGATTACTAATTTACAAGTGGGATTCATTTATTTATAAAAATTACATTATTTTATAAAGGGTTAGATGTCAAATTTTCTTTTATATTATAGATCTAAGAGTTTATGAGATTCTAAACTCATTTCTAGTGTAACATTTGCCTTCAATATTTATATTACCCTTATCGTTAATAAATATTAACTTTAATCATTAAATGATCAAAAAATTATAAAAAATAACTTCAAAAATTACCCAAAAAAATTGTGCTCTTTTGTTATTTCTTTTATTCTTGCATATAATTTTGGAAATCATTTTTTATAATTTTTTGATCAATTAATAATTAAAATTAACTCTTATTAATTTCAGAAATGACATTGCATTATTTTTAAAAATTGAAAACAAATTTTATATAAAAAATAAATTTAAAATGTCAGGTGCCTGAAAATATAATTTAAGGATCATTTAATCCTTTTATAAAAGATAAATAGTGTGGATTGCCGCAAATGTTCCCTCATGCTCTGCATTGCCAGCTATCCTTTATTCCCCGCATTGACTCCATGCGTTTACCAGACAAGTCGGACTTCATTGTCTAGTTTCCTTGCATTGATACATAACAAGTGTTATCCTATTACACGGACTTAATTACATAAGTTTTACAATATTATTTTATTATATAAATAATTAAATTTTTGAATATATTATCAATTAAAAAATCTCATTCAACAACTTTCATGATGTTATATTTGGATGAGTGAAAATTTAAATTAGGATTTAAATTTAAATTTAAATTTAAAATAAATTCCTCATTTAGATATATAAAATTTGTTTATAAATTTAAATTTAATTCAAATCTAAATCCGTATTTCATTCTGATTGTGTATTGTAGAGAAATGCATGTACATTGAACTGCTAGACCATTGATCTCTTAAAAACCTGTCAATTATATCAATAAGGGATTTAAGCATTGTAATTTTTTTTATTAAAACTAAAAAACTTATTCTTAATATAAGTAAACCACTTGAATTAATTAAATGTCAAATTTGATTTTAAAAACACTCTATTTTTAACTCAAAAGGTCATATTTGGTATGGATAAAAGGTTTTTTCAAAAGATATGTATGTATGTATGTAGAATTTTTTATTTTTCTAATATATTTGGTACTCATTATTTTAAGTTACTAAGGAATTGATGCTTTCCTTATATTTGCAAAGTATACCTCATTTATTTAGACTAAGAAACATGTATAATTTCATATAACAAAAAATGAATTGTCATTTGTCAATTTTGCCCTAAATTATAAAGCATTTTGAAGATTTTACAAACAAAAAATCTATAATTTCTTCATACCAATTTTTTAATACTAAACATATTTTTAGTCCAAAAATTATATTTCTATATTGAAGCTTCTTTCTCTCTTCATTTCCTTTCCATTTAATTTCCTTAAAAAATGGCTGCATCCTCTTTAAAAAAAAAAAGGAGCAAAAATCTTAGACCATTTTCGTGAAATTCAATTCTTGCTAGAAAGCTAAACTCAAAAAAGAAAGCTTCAATAATTCATGAGAGCTAAGACTGAGACAAGGCCATTATGAAGAGTGACATGATATCCCACCTCATTGCATGTGTTGTGTAAAAAAGGACAACTATAACGATCTAAGTTCCACATTAATAGTAGAAAATTTATTTGTTTTGTTCTTTTGTCCTTTGATCTCTTTCTTAAAGCCAAGTCAAGTGAGCTCCTATTTATGCCATTTTTCTTGGTGATTTCTATTTGTCTTTTGAGCAGATATTTTTATTTACTCAGTAAGATGCTATGCTTGAAGCAACATAAATTATTTTTGGCACTTCAAACACTGTTACTTTCCTTTTTTGCCCCCTGATATTAAACATTGTCAATTAATAAAATTAAAGAAACATTTCATAGGTATTCAAGTGTGACGGAGAAGAAAGAAGTTACTGGTCAAAACCCTTCATAGGAGATCCTTTCCAAAACCATCTAACATAAGCTTAAACAAATTGCTGGATATTCAAGTGAAATAGAAAAACCTACCTTGAAAGCTAACTATTAATGTGAAAGAACCGATCTACTTAGACAAACAATTCAAAATCTATAGCACTTCATGCCAGACTAAGACATTGCGACTATTAAGTTACCATCAACATCATTTTGAAGACTATATCTATACTCTGCCATTATAACTGAAGAAAATGAAGGTGGATTGGAAGTATTAACATCATAACAATAAAACAATTCCAAAAACAGTTTTATTACTTTAGGAAGCTATTCTTAGCTCCTCCATAAAGTTAAATTTACTAGTTTTTCATTCACTGATTCAATATTATCATTATCTTTTCATTTTTAAAATGCAAGTAGACAGTAGTAAGTATAATGCCCAAAGAGTTTTTTTTAAAAAAAAAAAAGAAAAAAAATATCACATTAGCATAAAAACCCAAGACAGTAACCTTGAGTTAGTGAAAAGTTTATTGAAAAGCATGAACAATTTATTTGATGCAAATAGAAGATGAAGGGAATCATGCGTTCTCAGCTGCTTTTATTTTACACAAGCCAAGCAAAATATAATGTTAGAAGTCTTAGTTTTATGCCGATACTAAATATCATGGAAATCGCACTAACTGTGGACAACATTAAATAAAAAGAGATTATATTCATTTCATATTAGTCTTATAAATCAACAAATACAATGTGAGGAAACAAAACCTTCTGCTTCTTACAAGATACAGAATCAGTCAAGAGTTACTGAAAAGATTACTCAAGGGAAGTTCAAGAATGCATGGAACAGAGAGCAAAAAATATTGCTGTGAGCTTACGTGTCATCTATGGCAGTCTGATCATCTGTTTCAAGGAGTAAACGGTCCTTTTGTCTTGAGATTCTGAAATCTCTGGCGGAAGTAGACCTGCGGGCTGGGCAAAATCTGTATTGAGCATCTTCTCCCCTGGCTGCACGAGGTTTTGACTTCGGTAAAGGAGGAAATTTATCAATGTTTTCACCACCATTATCATCGCGATTTGTTCTGAGGAGCAGCTTTTGATCTGAGGACACATCTGGAGAGAAGATAGGTGAAGAATCCTTTGCCTCAGTTCGATTTAAACTTGATGAGGTACTACTGGTTGTGCTGCCCAGTTCGTCAAGTGGGACGTATGTATCAGCATTCTGTCTTGATTCCTGAAATTAAATGTGAACATGTTTACAATATGCAGATAACTTTAGAAAGCATGGACATAGACATAAAATGAGGGCTCATCCATGATTTAAAGCACAGCGCTGTGGTATGAAGTGTCTGTGATTTATAGCTGATGAGCAAAAATACGGGGCACCTAATGTAAGAACCAATATTACTCAAAGCTTCAAGGGGAATTAGTTATTAGCCACCATCTATTAGTTGTCAATTTGTCTTGGATGCAAATTTGCATCATAAAAGGTAAGGGAGTTTCTTTTAGCTCATAGTTTAATTCTTACTTCTTTAGAAGACATAGTGGCTTCTGCTGGCTTTTCAGATACCAGACTCTTTCTACGACGCTCGAGTAATGTATGGGAGCGTCTAATTTTAGAATTCATGCGCCTGTAAACATTAGCAAAGCAACCAGATTCCATTAAATCGTTATCAAGAAACAAATCAAACTATATAAAGATTTTTGAGAAAATACAACAGTTGATTCCTCTACTTTTAGCATATTTTGGTATTAATCTCTATACTTTTTTTTCCGTTGCTCCTATTCCCTTAAATTTCATTTGCTTGTAATGTTAATCCTTATCATTATTGAGAGAGTTAAATCTATTGATGTATGCATAACTCTATTAATTATGTTGTTGAGTTGGTAAATTATAATGAGTTAGACACTGTATAATTGAAATGGCTACTAACATTTCTGCCTTTCTACCCTAGCCATCACGTCATCTTCTTTTCAAAGATTCACCCATCATGCGGATTCTGATTTGATGTCCTACTTCTTTCTTTTTGCCTTCTACTCATTTCTTAAACAACTCATTATAATTTTAATAAGTCAACATGAGAAGTAATGGGGCTCATGCACATTAGCCACTGTCAAGTTCTTAGGATCACATTGAAAAATACAGAGACAAACATTACAGATGAACGAAACTTAAAAGAGTAGGAGCAATGAAAAAGGACTAGAATCAACGAAAAAGAATATAAGGACTAATACCAAAATAAACTGAAAATATAGGGACCAACAATTGTCTTTTCCCAATATTTTTTTCATTTTTTTAAATTAAATTTGGAAATAGGTTTACAACAAGATAATCATTCATTTTTTAATTGAAATAAGATTATCATTTAATATCACATATTGAATACAAATTTCAATAGTATGGACATATTTTAGAAAGTAGAAACGTACAATAATCCAACTAAAGGGGAACAGTAAAGCCTGCCTGAAGCCCTTGTCAAGGGAGAATGACTTACTTCATTTGTTCATCGGCTTGATCTTGCTCTTCATCTTCAACGCAGATCACAGGAAGACCAGAGAGGTCACATGCTAGTGGACTTGTATAGAAAAACTGCAGGCAAATTATTCTCATTAAGAGATTTATATCTCACGGGAATATTCAAATATGTATAACGAGTCAGAAAAGCTATGAGAAAGACAACTAGATAAAGAAATAATTGTTCAAGTTTATGATAATTACTGTAAACAAAAAGAACTGAAACAGGGAGGTGAAAGATCTATTTGAAAAGTATAATATGATGGAGAAGAGAAAATTGGACCATTCAAACTTGATTGGCTCAAATTCATAGATGAATAATTTAAAGCCTCTCAGCTAAAATTTATCAAAGAAAGCTATACCAATCTAGAGGCTTCTTCTTACAACAACAACAACAACAACAACAAGCCTTTATCCCACTAGGTGGGGTCGGCTACATGGATTGCAAGACGCCATTGTGCTCTATCATTTATTAAGCTTTTAGAAATATTATTAATTAAGAGATCACGTTCAACAACTTCCAAGAGTGTTCTCTTAGGCCTTCCTCTACCTCTCTTAATCGGACTCAAAGTTATATGTTCCACTCTTCTCACTGGTGCCTCCCTTGGTCTTCTTTGTACATGCCCAAACCATCTCAACCGATTTTCTACCATTTTTTCCTCAATAGGTGCCACCCTCACTTTTTCACGTATGTGCTCATTTCGAATTTTATCTTTACGTGTATGTCCGCACATCCATCGTAACATTCTCATCTCTGCTACTCCAATTTTATGCTCTAGAGGCTTCTTCTTAAAGGGAACAAAATTATAAAACATTCCAATATATATCAGTTTAAGGACATAAAACTGTCTCATAGACTTTGATATGCTGATTCATAAACCAGCAAATAGCAATTGAAGAGCTTGAATCAGTATTGATCAATGATCATTCTACCCATAACTCACTTGATTTTGGAGAGCTTTAGAGGCAGTTCCACGGTAAGCAGGGTCCAAGGCAAGTAGAGTACATAATAGACCCAAAGAAGATGAAGGGAAATCTTTGAAAGTCTCTACAAGGCAGGGTCTATAAGACTTTGGAGGCCTAAAAGTCCCAGCAGCTTTGAATTTCTTCCAATAACCCTCTGATGGTGTACCACATAGCCTGAAAATTCTATGAAGTTGCTCCACCTGAAAGTAGAGTGTTTATGATTTGAAGAACCAAATAAAACAAGATAAGGAGGCAACTAACAAAAAAGGCGGGGAAGGAAAACACATGAAGCAGCAACCAAAAAGAAGAGATGAATTATTATAAAGATTAAATTATATTTTTTGTCCTTGGAAGATAATAATTTCTTAATTTGGTCCTCCATAGTATAAAGTATGAACCTCTCATCACCCATTAGTTTTCTCCCAATCAATTCAACTCCTCTGTTTGTCAATGTAACATGAAATTAATTGAGCCACTGACCTCGGCATCTAGCCTAAATGTGGCCGTCAAATAGATGAAGTGGCCCTGTTTATTAAACAATAAAATTGATTGGATGAAAATAAGAAAATTAGTGAATAACAAAATTGAGAGGGATACACTTTTGAGGACCAAATTGAAAATTTTGTAATCCTTAAAGGACAAAGGCATCATTGCCAAAGACTCTGAAAGTTTGGATACTGCCATTATCTGGGCATTATCACCTCTGTTCTGCCAGGCATAATTGGAACCCCTGTAAACATTTCTGCCAGGAGGCATCCGGCACTCCATAGATCAATACCAACTCCATAATCTGTGGCACCTAGCAACAATTCAGGAGCTCTGTACCATAGTGTCACAACCCTGCTTGTGAGAGGCTGGTTATGGTTGGGATTATAATAATTGGCAAGCCCAAAATCTGCAATCTTAAGCATCCCACTTTTATCAATCAAAAGGTTTGACCCTTTGATATCTCTATGCAAAATGCCCCTATCATGGCAATGCTGCAGACCTGAAAGCAATTGATGCATATAGGCCTTGACCTGCCAAAAAAAATTTCAGATTACTAGAGTGACTCTAGCAAACCAAATGCTTAAATGCTAAAGCCATCAAAGAGAAACTTTAACCTGTGGTTCAGTTAGTCTCTCTTCGGGACAAGAAACTATCCTGGCCAAGTCTGATTGCATGAAGTCAAAAACAAGATAAAGACTATAATGCATTCTTGAAGTAGCCAATCCCTTGAGTTTTACTACATTGGGATGATCCAATCCCCGTAATATCATAATTTCTCTTGCCATGAATTTAATGCATTCAGGCCTGGATGTGTCAAGGCGCACCTTCTTGAGGGCCACTGATTCTCCAGTGTTTCGATCTCGAGCTTTATAAACATTGCTATAAGTTCCCTGCCCTACCTGCAAAATATAATATTTAATATAAGTTGAAGTAATTGGCTGATTCACATCTACCATTGTCCATTAACCTGACTCAGGTGCTGTGGTCGTTGGGGGAATATATACTACAACATACTTAAACGTATACTGGTAAGCCTCTGAAACAAGCATCCACAACACCAATAACAAGTGTTTGTGCGGACCTCGTTTCAATTTCTACAAATAAATCAGTAAATTGAAACCTTATTGTAACAACTTGTGATCTCCATTCAAATATACATAAATTTGAGACTGTTGATGATTCAAGCAGAGAAATTGGTTAAAATTGACAGGACGGATACTGCTTTAGTACATTATGAAGACTGTTTCAATGTACCTTTAAAATTGATCCTGAAGTAGAGGTTAATACTAAGAGTTGAATGCTCAAGGTATTATCACTTTTTCTTTTTCTTCTTCTTTTTTAAAAAGGAATCCTACAAAAAGCATTCTGTACAGATGGCATTTTCTGTAATCCTTCATTCTAGCCATAACAAACTCACCTAAAAAGACTTTTAACAGAATGCACGGGAAAAAAAATAAAACCTTATTGATCATAATGTACGATTCAGCACTCTTGGGAACCAAACCAGCCAATGCTTCCTTTGGAACGTTATCAACTAGCCATTTGGGCCATCCATCAACCATCTCATCTTCGAAAGACTTCCTTGATACCTTCGAAATATTACGCACAGCATGCTTCTTTCCCTCTCTGTTATTCAATCTCCCCTTCTCTTTAACTCTTTCAGGACCAGCAACGCCACCATCCTGTCTTTTGTCATTGCCCATACCAGACTCAACCTGGTGCTCCCTGGGTTCGCGCTGGTTTTGCCGGCCATACTCCGTCCGATCAAATTTCCGCCCCGTGGATCGTCTATGAGCAATAAAGTCATCATCTCCGGCATACCCATTCTGTAATTCGAACCTCCCAGAGGGCCTAGATGACTTAACCTGGTGAGAGCCCATAGTCCTCTATGATTCGAGTCTCATGGTGATGGCATTCGCAGTGTCCAGAATAATAGGTGACATGAAGTAACAAAGAAGAAGAAGGATGCAAAAGGGTATTTAGGTGATAGAAAAAGAAAATGACTGTAGCATGATGCGAAAGATTCTGGCCGTCCTTGGCCGGCATATTCGGACCTTTCTGGGTTTTTAAAGACGAATTCTTAGCTATCTCCGTTGGGATGGAAGGGTGTGATAGAGACAGAGATTGCGACTACGCAGTTCCAAAATCCAGAAAAATGAATTCGCAGCCAAATGTTGAGCCTTGAAGGCTTCAACTAGGGACCGATAACAGCAAAGAGAGAGACTTCTGACTTGGACTCGTCACTCTTGAGCTCGATCGATCTTCGATCCTCCTGCCGGCACCATGTAGGCTGTTGGAGTCCGGTCACTTTATATTAACGTGATTGTCATTGACCCAAATTACAAACAAAAATTTGGCAGAATAATAATAAAGTCCCAAAAAAATAAATTGACGATAATTAAATTTTTATAAAATATATTGTAAATATAAATTTAAACAATTATAAAAATTAATTAAATTATAAATTAATTATTATATTTAAAATTCAAATATTATATTTAAAATTTAAAATTTTAATTTTATAACCGTTTAAATTAATATTTGCAATTAATTCTTAAGAAAAATTTGATAGAAAACTGTCATAAATTTATTTTTTTTAACACTTAACTGTCATTCTCTTTAAAAAAATTTGACATATTTATATATATAATTATTTTAAAATTTTAAAATCATTTAATTTTATAGCAAACATTTTTTAATTTAATATTATTTTTTAATTCAATCGATTGAGAAGCAACTTTTATGGTGCATTCAAAACAGGAATGAAAAAATCAAGTCAGCCACCCCCAATACATAATATAAAGAATCCAAAACTCAACGGAAATTATATAAAAATCAAATGGTATGTACAATTTTTTAACAAACTACTTAAACCTTACGTACTGTCCATAAAATATTATGTCCAACGTACGATGATATCGTCAACCTCTTCTTTAGAGAATAGATCCGCAATGTCAAATATTTAAATTAAAGTATAAAATTACAATTAAAATGTTGACTAACTAATTCAAATAATAATAAAATTAGTTTTTTAAAAATATATTTACCTCATTAATAAATTCAGTCATTTTCGATGTGATGATGTTGAGCATGTACCTCATCATATAAATGCTGCACAAACTAATTTTATGTAGTTGCTTACGACTCTGTATAAATGTGTGTGTGTGTGTGTGTGTGTGTGTGTGTATATATATAAAACCAATCGATAATAAATCTTAATAATTGAATAAGTTAATAAAATATTAGATTCACTCACCTTTAGCTTGATCCATGTAAGATCCTTGAGTTCATGTGCATGCTTTTTTTTTAGGACCATTGTTTGGTGAGTTTTAATTTCCCTATAATTAAGATCACGAGATTAGTAACTAATATATTCATAAAAAATTGAATTGAATAATTGTTGTACAAGTATACTTACAAGTATATCATTTCCTTCATGTGCTTGCTTGGTTTGTAATAGAGGGAGCATAAAAAGAGGACTGTATTACTCTCAATAAAAGAATAATTAACTACTAATGGTCCCTGCAAAATAGTAGAGTGAGTTATAATAAATCCACATTTAGCAAAAAAAAAAAATTAATTGTAAATTGATCCTTACAAGATGTATGGAGTCATGAAAATATTCTTTTTGACTTCATATATTCTTTGTTAGAAGTACCAGGATCTTATTTCTAGAATATTTCCTTTCTCTATCATGAGATACAAGCAAAGAAATCCAAAATTATCACATTTGCCCAATGTGATGCACAAACGATGGAGATACCTGCGATAATGTAAACATGTTAGTTGACTAAACTTAATAAGTTAGTTTAATTATATTCAAGAAAAACATATTTATCGCATAAATAGCTCAATTGATGTTATGATAAGCTAACTTTTTGAGAGAAGTCAATTTAAATCTTTCCATTCAACCATAACTAAATTCTCCATACCCACAACATTCTTTTCCTTTACAAAATTTTTTTCTTTGAATGATTTATCATATGAAAAAAATTATTTGTTAAAGAAGAGTGAACTACAATGACTGCGATTGTAACAAGGGCTATGGAAGTTTCAATAGGGAAAGATTTAGCGAGAGAAGTTAAAAAGAAAATAGATAGTTAATAAAAAAAACATGATAGTTGGGAAAGAAATATTTAAAAACATGTAAGAAATTACATACTGTAGCTTAAACTATACTCACAAGTCTCTTGGACCACACAATAAAAGTACCAACAGCTTTAAACACAGTCTTGACCTCGTCAGTAGGGAATAAGCCAAGCGCCTTTGGTACTTTTACATCTTCTATCACTACTTTTACTTGATCTTCTTATATTTACTTATGGTAGATGGTTTGCCCCAAAGTGTAAATGCTGCCAAGAGCAATCCAGTATCTATCAAGGTCCTCCAGATATAGCTTACACGATTCACCAATATTTCATGTTGAAGGACCCTCTAACATATGTCCAAGAATATTACTCCCTTTTATGTTGTGAAATCTAGGAGACTATATATGAGTTGTATCAGTAGTTGTTGCTTGTCATGTGGTCATAAAGGTCATCATTTTTTTCTTTCATTTTTGCAAGCTAAGCTTCTAGGAAAGCTTCCAAGTAAGCTTTAATTAAAGCTTTAGCATCTTTCATTGCTTATTGCCTTACATTATTCATTATTGTTTCTAGCTCCTTTTTAGTAGCAATGCCCAAGCTACTGGGACGTGCAGGTTCTCCAAAATAATCTTTAATTCCCATACAAAATCCAATACCTCTAACACACCCCGGATGCTTTGGATTGCTTATAGGAACCATTAAGATGTCAATTCTACCATCTAGAGTGAAGGATTCTTGAGCTTGTTATTTCTTAAAAGCCTCCTATAATAAACAAAACAAAAATCATCACAGAAAATATGAATAACTAAACTAAAAATCATAACAAAAAATTAAAGGATTAAATGGTACTTGCAACCTTTTCAGCAACCTTGTGTACCTTCTTGCTTGCATACCCTCATTTCTTATATTGACAACCATATCTCCATTTATCCTCATGTGAGATAGGCAATGGTGGGGAAATGAGAATAGAAGGATCGCATTGAACTTCTTCTTCTCTCTTCTTCAATTTCTTATCCATCAAGATATCGTCAACTTGATCATAACCCCTATGAGACATTATGTGGTGACATTCATTTCTTTGAGCAATTTCTTTTCCCTGTGCTCATTTCTCCTATTGACTAATAAGAAATTAACAAATTAATACAATAAATTAAATTAAATTACTAAAATTAAATCAATTAGAAATGGATAAAGCATAGCTTTTTCAAACGTCTTAATCCTGTAGAATTCTTGCCAAATTTGTTCATCCAGAAATTGGTATGTCTCAAGAGAATTAGGACGAGGTTGACCTTCTTTCAACTTGATGTGGATAAATTTCCTCAAAAGGTCAGTCTTAAAGCCTCTCTAACACTCTTCACAATATTTTAACAACTGTCTCCAACACGCTGGATGATTTAGAACATCACAGGTAAACTGCAATTAATAATAGTTAGTATTTTACAAGTAAAATCACACATATTTATAATTTTACAATGATATACTTAAATGCTTTCTTAAATTTGTTCCTTCACACATTCTAGAACATCAAGCCAATTATCAAAAAAGATACTAAGTTTGTTATATGACAAGAGTCTAAAGTAGTTGATAAACTTAGCCTTATTTGGTCCTTCTGATTTTCACTGTCGATTGAACTAGATTGGTAATCTATGCCCAATATTCCTACTTAAGATTAGCTCTCTTTGTCATATGCCCTATCTACCCCTCCTTACTGACTAGCTCTAACTAGGATCACTAGCACCACTCTAAGTTTTCAACTAGCTTAAAGTAACCTCTATAGCCAATTGGCTTTAAGTACTGTTAGTAGGTTCGCTTTGATTCTTCTCTATGTTCATAAAAATAAAATACAAAGAATTATAAATAAAACATAATTCAAACAATACAAAAATAAATAAAACATAATTCAAACAATCACTTCTAAAAAAATATAAAACTAACATTAATTTTAAAATTAAATTCATATGGGGATATTCTCCCATATGCCTTTATGGTAATTACTTCTTGTAGTATATTTATCATCTATCTCATCTACATTCAAATTGAGTAGTCCTAACGAGAAAGTAAGAGTTTCAGAAATATCAAAGCTTGTTTTATTTTTGTCATCATTATCAATCACCATTTTTCTTCAAGAGCTATTAATTAACTTTTATTTATCAAATCAATGACATAAAAAATTTATTTTGCTTGGACTGTTATAATAAATAGCTCCTCCCTATAAGTTAGTCTTTTACGAATAACTAATGTAAGTCTTAACTTATTCTCTTGAACACCATTGATAGGCACTCTAAATTTTGTATAGTTAACCTCTCAAATCTCTTTAATGATCACAAAACAAGGCATGAATGCCAATTTTAAATTCTTATCTTTCTTACTTGAAAAGTGCATAGCTTTAGCCATTATCATAATTTTACTATTTTGCACAGTATTTTTCTCATCAAAAGATTTTGTATAAAAGGAATACTAATTAATATCATATGCACTTAACATATCACACTCAAGCTAAGACCCATTGCCAACCATTTAATAGTATTAGAAACACTATCTTCATTTAAGACTTTTTATTTGAACCAATCTACAAAAGTGCTATTGTGCTCTTGCAAGAATATTTGTTTAGTCATTCTCAGCTGATTGCATTCTACCTTTAGAAGTTCTTTATGTGTATCTATTTAGATTAAAACCTCATCAATATTATTCAAGATATATAAATGAACTTCTAGCACTCCATCATGATTCATGCTCTTTGTTGATACCCATGTGTGCCTTGACCTAATTACCTCCTCTCATGATGAGATTTAAAAGCCTAATTGGTTCTGTACTTGACAAGTAATTAGAGCTAAATTTCATAGCTTTTTTAGCAACTATTTTTGAATAATAGATGCTTCAAGTTGGTATGGATTCCTCATATACCCTTTTAATATTTTCATATATCTCTCAACTAACTACATCCATCGTAAGTAGACAAGGCTACACATTTTTACTTCCCTCGCTAGATGAACAATTAAGTGTGTCATAATGTTAAAAAATGAAGGAGGAAAGTGCATCTCAAGTTGACACAAGATAATATAATCTTATTGTTCCAAATTCATTCAATTTAAAGGGATCAACAACTTTATTATATATCACAAATCTTTTTTCAATATATCTTAAATGGCTACTAGTAATAACTGTTGCATCAAGACATGACAATCGTGAGACTTTAAACTTACTAGTTTCAACTCTTTTATCAACAAAAGCTTATTAATATTTCAAGAATATCCTGAGGGAATTTTGATCTCATATAAACACTCAAAAAAACTTATTTTCTCAACCTTAGACAATGTATGAGGGGCCGGAGGATAGTAAATCCACTTACCTTCTAACCTCGAGTGTAAATTCTATTTTATTCTCATTTCTTTTAAATATAATCTTGCATTCACACCATCCTTCATCTTACCTAGTATGTTTAAAAGTGTTCTAATAATACTATCACACACATTTTTTTCATGTGCATATCATTAATACAATGCCTCACTTCAAGATGGCACTAATATAGAAGATCAAGGAAGATAGACCATTTGATCCATATATTTTTGGTACTTGTATTCTTTTGAGTCTTACGAAGGATAACATTGACGTTTTTCACCCGTTCATAGACTTATGCCCTATTCAAAGCATCTGGAGCATAAAGGTGCTCTTGGTGGTTATGAAAAGCTTTCTTTAAATTACAATAAGGGTGGTCTCATCTAAGAAATCTCCTAAAGCTAAAGTAGATTGTCTTCCTTCCATTTAAAGTTGGTGGTAGCATTTGTCTTCTTCATAAATTAGACATGCTTTATGACCTTTGACACTATACCCAAACAAATTCTCATATGCAGAAAAGTCATTTATAATGAAAAAGATCATAGCATGTAACTTAAAATTCTCCTTTTGATTTATATCAAACACATCCATACCTATCTCCCACAACTCTTTTAAGTCTTCAATTAAAGGTCTTAGGTAAATATCAATGTCATTTCTAGGTTGTTTTTTCCTAAAATTAATATGGATAGCATCATGTACTTTCATTTCATGCACAAGCAAGGTGATAGGTTATGAATCACTAAAAGAACAAGTTGTGAGCTATATATTCCTAAGGCTACCATAAGGATTCATTCCATCAGTAGAAAGTCCAACCCTAAAGTTTCTTGATTCATTTCCAAATTCAAAAAATAATTGATCAATTTTCTTCTACTAAGGAGAATCAGCTAGACATCAAAGTTTTTCACTGGATATCCTCTCATCCGCATGCCACCTCAAGTTCTTCGCATCGTTAATATGTACAAACAAACTCTTGAACCTTAATATAATCGAATGATACCACAAGACCTTTGTAGAAGTCTCCTTCTTTTTATACCATGGTGCCTCACATTTTAGACACTTCTCCTCCCCTTCAAGATTTTTTTGGTAAAGCATACAATCATTAAGGCATGCATGTATCTTTTTAAAATTTATACCCATTGTGCACAAGATCTTCTTGGCATCATAGTAATGATTTGGTAGTACACCATCATTTGAAAACATTATTTGAAGTAACTCTAACAACCATGTAAAACTTTAATCACTCCACCCAACTCTTGCCTTTAAGGTAACTAGTTCTAACACCCTAGACAATAGATTGAAATTGATATACCTTGGGTATAGAGACTTCTCCACATCAATGCACAAGTTATTATACATATAAGCTCGTTTAGAGGCATCTTCCCCAACATTTTAGATCATGTCCTCTAATCAATTTTCATCCATAACTACATCATCAATGTTATCAATTTTCACATATTAAGATGTGTTACTATGATTTGAAATGAGGATGATGGAGACAAAGAGAGACAGACGAAGAGAGATGAACAGTCACAATGCTAAATAAGAAATGAGGAAGACAAAGGGTTTTGGGAAATTTGAAATAACTTGTAACATCAGTGTTCAGTTCACCTGATGTTAACAGTGATATTTAAATTTTTTTTATTTTTTAAATACTTTTAACATCAAGTAGACCACCTACATGATTGCCCAATATTAACAATAGTGCAATTTATTTTTTAAAATTTTTAAATACTTTTAACATTGGGTGGTTGATACACTCGATGTTAAAAGTAGTGAATTTTTCTTTTAATTTTTAAATACTTATAACATCAGGTGGACCATCCACCCAATTTTAAAAATAGTGAAATTTATTTTCTTAAAATTGAAAAAAAAAGGTTTTTAACATTGGGATTTTGTCCACCCAATGTTGAAAATAAGAAACAATATTGGTTCTAATTATAACAAATGTTGAAAGTCAATCAGCTATTGATTTAATTATAGAAATGTCATCATGTTCACTTTTTACATCATTTGCCTGTGAATTGATGTTAAAAGTTAGCTATTAAACTCATATTTTGTATTGGTGCCATTCCCACTACTATAGGTTCAAAGATGGATCTTAACTAGTTTGGTCTATCAATTTTCCCTCATGTCCAAACTAGACATTTAATAGGTTTCTGATTCAACTAGCCAAACAAAACAATTTGATCCTATTCTTAAAATATTGCTAAACATGATTTAAGATTCTCACAACTTAGATTTTGACTTTTTTAAAAAAAGAAATAAAACCAACTTTGAGATTAAGGACATATTTGATTTTGTTTCTAATTTATATTTTAAAAGAATTTTTTATAAATCAACTTTTAAAAATTGTTGTAAAACAAAATAAAAATAAAATCTTTTCAATTATATAAATTTAAAAACAATGTCAGAATATAAAATTTCCTTTAAAAAAAACCTTTTAAAAAAACATATCTTAAATGAAGTATTAAATGAATACTATTTTTTAAAGTTTATATTTTTATTTTAAAAAAGTAAGATTGTAAAATGTGTTTAATGAACTTTATTAATATATAAGATTTTATTTAAAAATATTTTATAATTTAGGATGGAGGGAATGCTGTAAATCATTACCTATCATTTATTATAATTCTCTATTATTACCTTCCGCTACCCCCACCATCCACCACCATGTGATTGATGATGATAGGCTTTGATGACAACCATCAATGGTCTTTAGCCAGCAACGGCCAAAAATAGCTTAGCTGGTGATGACCCACAATGACAGCTAGTGGGATACCAATGTTAATGAGAGTTGGTAACCATTAGTAATTAGTAATTCAATCAATTTTACATGGATTATGGGGGATATTACATGAAGGGAAGAAAAAATACTCTTTTTCACCTTCACACACAATGTTGTCTATGATTTTTTAAAAAAAAAATTTGGATTTTACGTAGCTTATTTAATTTTTAAAGTTTAATGATGATGATGATGATGATGATGATGATGATGATGATATAATACTAACAATAGTAATATTTTTAAACTTCTCAACTTTTGAGATAGCTTTTTCGTTTTTAGTTTATTTAATATTTCACCAAAGGAGAGTGATACATTGATGACAACACTCAAATTTCAAACTAGTTCTTCTAGTTTTTTTTTTTTTTTCAAATTTTGGATTGTACGTTGATTTTTTAGATGGATTTCCACAAATCATGTTTTGTTTTACTAAAAATCTAGATATAATACTAGTAAATTATGAGTTTGTAAACCCAATTCATATAGTTTTTATTGTCGAAGTTGACTATAAGTACGTCAGCCTGTTAAGGTTACCCTGGCATTTTGACTATTTTGATAAAATTTTAGCAGTTCATATATTTTTATCTAATTTTTATAATTTAATATTTTTAGCAATTTTTATGAAATATTAAATGATGTCCAAATTTCATCCCATGATTTAATAGGAAATTGAAAGGAGGTGGATAGAATCTATTTCTTAGGATCCAACGTTCTAAACCCGTCTCATTTTTCATAAAAAAAAAAATTTGTTAATTATGTGGAAATTCCAAATTCCTAGACAACAAAGGAGTTTTGTTTTATAAAACAAAATTGCTTCTAAGGACCATAGCTTTGAAAATTTGCAATAAGAGACGTTAATTGTATCATGTGTTGATTAAGAAGTTATTGATAATTATAGTCATAAAGTTTTCTTGTAGCTTTTGGAAGATGTGACTTGAAAAAGTCTTGAAAATTCCATGAAACTTTAGGAAATTTAATTGGAAAATTTAGAAATCATCAATTATGATTTTATTAAGTAAGATTCATCCAAGAAAGAATGGTAGTATAATAAGAAAGATAAAACTTGATAGTTACTTTGTAACTCTAGAAAATTTAAATGTTAAATTTTGAGAGACACTAGTTAAGAATATTTTCATCCCCTTGTGACTAAATTAAAGTCTTTTGAGCAATATGAATAATTTCAGTTAGAAGATATTTTCAGAGTAAATTTTACAAAATTGTGGCTATGTTCCTTTTTTATCTTTCATTTCAAACAAACTTTATTCTCTTCAATGTAGAAGACGTCTCATCTTCTTCAATGACTCAGACTGAACCCATACCTATGTTTTTTTTTGGCATGAAATTGTTATTATTACCCAAAAAAAGTTTTTTATTGACTTTGATTAATTGCCTCTTTGGTTTCATATTAAGAACTACTAAAACCATGATTTTGGTGGTTTCTAATGGGAAATCATGCATGCCTGACTCAGTTCTGACCATCAAGATTTCAACATTATGATAAGGGAATATGTGAGTGTATAGTATATATACATAACAAATAATAAAAAATTTAAGTGAGTTGAATTTTAAGGGCTCACCAAGGTTTATGAATACCTCCAAACTCAAAAAGTACTTACATAAGTACTTAAAAATTATTCATCAACTAGATCCTCACACCGACAATGAAATTTGAACCTATAATCTTGTCAATTATGAAATAAATCCTTATCAATTGGATCAACCTTTGTTGATTAAAAAAACCATATTCTTGTTCCTTAAATGGGAGAAGAAAACTTTGGACAGGAGGAAAAAAAAGTTAAAAAAAAACACACACACACATGCGTGCACAATAAGAGAAGAAAGCTTCTTGCAACGAGTAAGGATGAAACAAATCAGTCAGCATGGCATTCTTTACAGAAAGGATGGGAACTTGAACTATATGGACAGCATTTACTATTAAAAGTATTCATTCCAAATAAAGTATCAGATACAGAAGATTTACATAAGATTTGTAGACCAAACCAATCATAACATACCCCACTTCAAAGTATTCACGGCATGCTTTGGTTCTCTTTATGATCATCTTGGTCTACCTATCTTTTGTAAACCGAGTCTAGGTAACAAATTTACTTCATTCCAAATCTATAATCCCAAAATTTGACAGAAGGATCTTTACTTGACCAACAAAGTCTGAGCCTGTTGCATACTCTGTCAGCATTCCAACAGCAAAACCAAACATGGCCCATCTGTAACAATAAAATCCCATTTACAAAATCTAAATTGACATGTAACAATTAAGTGGAACATACCCAAAAAAAGAAAAGGCAGAAATATAGAAACTAGTGGGATAATCTCAACAGAATGCAACTCATTGAACATAAGAAGATGAGGAAATGATTCTTGGGATTGAGCTTTAAGGCTGGAATATCAGGTACTAACTGCAATATCAACAGTGTAGGAGAAAAGAATGCTGCAAAATCTGTGAAAATCTTTTTTCTTTTTAATAGATTGAGATCAGACTCCTTCACAGCATCATTAATCTGAAGTCCAAAATACCATTTAGGCCTCTTTCACTAGCCATTTTGAAGGAAAAAGAAATGAATAGGGACAATTAGTTTATGATATTAGCATTCATAAGCTGGATCAAAACAAAAGAATAGAAAGAATACCAATAATTTTACAATTGATTGTTTTATTAATCAAAATTTTTAACACTTATGCAGATGAATGTCTGCAAGCTGATTACCACCATATAAATTTTGGTATTCTATCCTTCATTCATGAATCTGTAGAGTCTGTGCTCAAGGTTTCTTCTTCGCATTGATGTGAGAAAAAACTTTAAGGAGATAGGTACATCAGCTCTCGAAGTTGAAGAAATGATATGGACTAAACAGGGAAAGGAAAATGAGGAATCAAGGCAATTCACATGAGAAATCTAACTCCTATTCAACAGAAGCACAAATCAATGTGAATTGCAAAGCTTCTTTAAATCAGCCTGCAGATGCTCTGGAATTGAGACATGAAATTAAATTCATTAGGAGCATCTGAAGGCTTTAAAAAAAAATCTTCTTTTCCATAATCTCCCAGTCCTTGGCAATACAACACAGTGAAAGAATTGATTGTGGTGCTACTATGATTTGGCTGATTTTCCTGCCTCAGAGATATACCAGCTAGTTTGTTTGTCAAACGAGAAAGGCCCATATACTGCAGTTCCCAAATTGCAGTATCTAAATATGTAAATGAGTCATGCTTGCCCATCTTTCTATGATAAATGGAACTACAACCGAATAATCAGATAAGATTTAGCCATTTTTAGTTTTCCAGATCAATATGCTGTACTCTAAAGACAAAACAAAACAACCAGTTTCATTTACAATTTTATGGGTTCAAGGTATCTCTGCTGCAGGGAAGACAACAACGAAAATACTGAAAGAATTATGCAGTTCGTACTTCTGCTGTTTTTCCCTTTACAAACCCAAAAAAATTAAAATCTGAATTCAATTTTTAATTTTGTTATCCTCTAATTGGTTTCACTATTTCTTTCTTCAACAATTGAGCTTGTCTTAAATTTCTAATGTACTTCCTTCCCTTATTTTACCAGAAATATCTGCAAGAAATTCTACTAAATGAGATTTTTGGAGTGACCATTATTGGTAGACATGCAAAAGCTGTTAACTCAAATTCTAGTCGTGTAAAAAAATTTTCATTTTAGTATAGAACCTAGTGTGTAGCACGTGTTAATCCACCTGTTATATGGGAAGGAAATGTTGCCCAAGGAAAAATTTGACAATAATGAAGTTTAATATCACTAAATAGGTTTGAATAGAAGCTTAAGGATGAAAAGTATAACTTAATCTGACATGTATGGAAATATTAATAGAAACCATGGTAAAATGCTGCTAATAGAATTGAGAAAGTTTGTTGTTGGAATGTAATAATCAACCTACTTATGTATCGTGATCTCATATCAATCAATGTGGGAATAGATAACTCAATATTTCCTTGATCTCTATCAATTGGCAACTCTTAGAAAGTCAACCTGTCTTGATCGGTAGCTATACTTTTTAACACTTCGCTCAACTTCTTTGCTGGTCAAAATCCTTCATGATTAGAAGTAGTCTTTTCAAATCTAGTTATCACCAACCCAAATACCAATTAATGCATATCTAAGTAGGATGAAAAACTTTATCCCAAAAGTTAGTTACAGAGGTGGAAGAACTAATGCACTTAAGTTCTTGAGATTATGGTTTATCCTATTCAAAATGAGATTAGGCAGACCATATTACCTTCATCACCATCCCATAAAAGGCCAATCTAATTACCAAATTCCAATTAAGTGATGGAATGATGACGAGAGACTTAGCCATAACTGTCACGAACCACCCTAACCTGAATTAAATATAAATCAGGCACCACAGTTACTAGAATTCCTGAAATTTTGCTAAAAGATCACCTTATATGAGTTAACTTATTGGTTATCCACATTTTCCTTTTCATCATAATCTACATGATCAAATGCATCACATAGAAGGTTGCTATCATAAATACAAGTTTAATAAGAGAGCTCATTTCAAAAGAGTAGTATATTAGGTGAAAACACTCTCTTTTAAACATATAAACCTTACTTTACTTGTAAGGCTTCTTAGTGTGAGACTCATGATAATGCCACCTCATTTGAGAGTTGATGTCCTTGGCAGCTCCACTTCATGACACTTCACTTGACCTCCTGTCAAACTCTCCATGGGCAATCCTCTCCATGAAAGTATTAATATCATGAGTACAAGTTTAAAGGGAGAGTCCATTCCAAAAAACTAATCTACTAAATAGGAGAACCCTTTAAACTTATAAACCTCACTTCACTTTTAAGATTCTCTGATGTGAGACTCATGAAAGCTACTACTACTATTATTATTCAAGACATTTATTGCTTAGGCAGAGTCTTGAAGGTATAAGGAAATTGGAAGGAGTAACCCCATCAATGTCTTGGCCCCAATAAAACTTAAAGGAAGCCCCCCCAACCACAGACATGAGATAGGACATCACATGGCTGTCCAAATATTTTGAAGAGCTGTGATGCATTAACACAGGTATACCTATGGACAGGCTCTCTAACTGAGTCATCTTAAGATATGAATATCACAATACCCTGGTGATTAAATCAAACAGTTGGTGACAATTTAACAGTAGTACCAAAATAAACTTGTTTAATTCCAAATATACCTTCCATTGCTAATCTCATTCTTCCCTATGAAACCAAACACAGGGCCTCGGTCCGTTTCTTCAAGCTTCTTCTGCTTGAAGTATTCCTGCAGCTCCTTCGCCTTTTGCCTCTGAAACTCCAATGTAATAACATTCCTGTCATTCCCAACAATAGCAGCTGCCTTCGGCGGTGGAGTCACGGTGGTTGACAGGGGAGAAGGCGACGGCGGAGAAGGAGGTGTAGGAGGAATGGGTTTCAGGGGTTGAGCCGCTGGTCTTCTGAGAGGATCTTGTGTCTGAGAACTCCTTATAGTGACACAACAAGGCTTGGAAGAAGAAAACCTGAGAGAAAAAGACGAAGTTGATGAAGACGTGCAAGAAGAGGGTGAGGAAGAAGAACAAGGAGAGATTTTGATGCATGGAATTGAAGCTGCCACAGACATTTTTCTACTTTGCGTGATGGAGATTCCCGCTATCTGTCTAATCTAAATCAAGCCCTCAAAATTTGGATTTAGATTGTTGTTGTGTAATGGTTTGTGGGTTTGGACGTTCGTCACATGCCAAAATCAGAGAAGTACGTGGTGTACATGTGGATAAGGAAAACTTGGAAGGAGGCTCTAGTTCCGAGTCCCTCAACATGTCGTTTACCTGATCACATAATGACACTCAAGAGAGATCCCCACCAACCATTGTATCAATGAATCTAGCTTGTTCGTGATTCAAAGGAGTACTATGATTAATTGATTATGCATCTCTGAATATGTGTTTTATTTTTCGTTTGTTAAAAATAAATAAATAAATTTAATTTTTTAACTTTAAACAATATTTCATTTTAGTCACTTCATTTTTTCAAGTGTTTTTTCAATTTTTTAACCCTAACATAATTAGTTACATCACAAAACTTTTTTAAATTTAATTTTTAAATATTGACAAAGTATTCTTAAATGTTAATATATGAATTCTAATTTTTTTAAAAATAACAATAATTAACATATAAAATAATTATTTGAAATTAATGGTGTTAGAGTTAAATGATTCAAAAAATTATTTATAAAATTAAGGGACTAATTAAAATCTTACATAAATTTAGAGGATTAAAAATATATTTTAACTAAAATAATAGCATCAGCCATTGAATCGTGTATGGTTATTCACGACTGCATTTTTTTTTTTTTTTTTGGAATCAGAGGCACCCTAAAATTAGGGGAAGGATCGCGGCATCTCACTTACAAGAAATTTACATGCTACTAAATTATAAGGTCATTTACAGCCAATTCTTTGAAAATTTAAGACTTGTATGTAAATGGAAATGGCTTAGAAAATTTGGAAGTCTAAGCGAAAATTTCAAAATGGAGTAGAAAATCATTTTTTTAAAAAAATAAAGAGTTAAAGTATATTTTCTTTCTCATACTTTCTTTTGAGGAGTACTAGATTCTCTGTACTAATAAATTAAATATTTTTTTCTTAAATTATTTTTCAAAGGAGCAAAAATTCTCCTCCATTAGTGATCCCTTAACTCCATTGTTTTTCTATTGACATGACATATTGTTTGGTAATAATTTGTCTACGAGCTCTTTTTATAGGAGTATTGGAAACTTTAAAATTTTATTAAAATAAAATTTAATAATATTATTAAAATATTTAACATCTTAGTATTTAATTTTAAATTAAATTATTTATAAATATTCATAAAAAAATATATTATTTTTTAAATATTAATAACTCAAAATATTTTTTCAAAAATTTAGAGATTACTTTTAAATTATGTGTAAATATTTATAAATAACAACAACAACAATAATAATATTTTCAAATAAATTATAGAAAATGACCTTATAAGAAAATTAATACTTCCTCCGTTAAAAAATGCAAGGTATTTTTAATCAAATTTCACCTCCAATAAAGAAGTTACCTACTTCAAACTCACCCTATCTTTTTATATTTACCCTTATTATATACTTTATAATAAATATAAAGTTACAATCAATAAAGATATTTTTAAAAAAAAAAGGCAATGATTACCTCTCAAAAGACTAAGAATAAATGCCTTACATTTTTAAATATCTAACTCTTCAAAAAATACCTTACATTTTTGAATAAAGGGAGTAATAATTAAGTCCTTTAAATATCTTAGGTCATTCTTTGTAAGGTTGTTGGTCAACTAACAATCTTTCTTCAAAATATTGCACTAATAAAAATTAAAATTGTGATATGTTGCAACTTTATATTAAAAATGAGGGAATGAACCTCCAAATAAACGGATAAAATTATTATTGTATTGTTGAATTTGCAACTCATTTTTTTAATTTTAAAATTAAAAATATATTGTATTATATGGAAATACCAATTAAGAACAAGTGATACTTTAGTTCTAAATACTCATTAATTTGACTGTTAGTTGACCCAAAAAAATTATAGAGAATGACTTAGAAAATTTAAGAAACTCAATCAATATTAATTTTCTTAAAATATTATTTTCTTGATAAATATTAAATATTTTAACAATATTTTATTAAATTTTATTTTAACAAAACTTCAAGATGCCTAAAACTCTTAAAAAAAGAGTTTAGAAACAAATTAGTATTAAAAAAAATGTCATATCAGTATAAAATTGCAAAGTTAATGAATCAATAATGGAGGGAGAATTTTTGCTTCTCTAAAAAATGATTTAGGGGAGGAAAATGCTGCACATATTAGTATAGAGTGTCCTTCCCTTATTAAAAGAAAGTACAAGAGGAAAAATGTGTAACATCCTTAGGTTTTAGAACTTAGAATTTAAAATTTTGGTAAGGGTAAATTAGTAGATTAGATTCATGGTATTTTTGGACCATTAATGGGTTTATTGAATCTTTGGGCAATCTTAAAAGTGAATTAAGATGAAATTTAGGTCAACTAGGCCGAGTGAAAGGCCTAATTAGCATGGTGGCTAGCTAAAACTCATGCTGCGCCACAGCGTAAAGCTCTTTTTTTGAGTTAAATGGGACACGAACAATGGATGATTTGTGAAAGGGAGAAAAGAGAAAACATAAGGGGTAAGGAGATGAGCCTTTAAGGCTACTAAGACTTCAATCTTTAACTATTTTAGAGGCACTCTAAGCTAGCAAAACATTTGGTAAGCTTCCTATCTATTCTCCTTTCTCTCTATCTAAAATTTATGAGGTTATGGGTAGTATGAGATGTTGATTTCATCTCCCCTTAGATTATAGCCAACCCCATTGTGTTCTTTGAGTCTATAGGAAGTTAATTTAAGATTTTAAACTTAAGTTTGATGATTTTATGGTGACTTAAAATTTTGAGCTAGGATTTAAATAAACCTTAGGCTTAAATTAGGGGTTTGAGAGCAAGTGGGTTGCATTATTGTGTTATCTAGGAATATAGATATTAAATGGCATTAACGAAATGTGTTGGGAGTATTGGTTAGGCTAAAGAGGAATTTTAGATAGGGTGGGTATCCTAATTTAGCAAAAAGAAAAAGGTGTTTATTAGAGTTGTAATTTTATGAATAATATTTAATATTGTAGATTAAATGTTGATTGGACTCTTTTGAGTGACTGGAGGCTAGCAGAATTGATAATTGCCACAATAACCCTTTTGCGACAAAAGAATTGAGGTAACCGAATAATCTAATATGTTTGCCTGTGTGTTTAAATGGTTTAGAGTTTGCAATATTCTATTTTAAATAGGTAATGCATGTGAAGTGGGACACACACACACATATACAACAAGCCTTTATCCCACTAGGTGGGGTCGGCTACATGGATTTCAAGACACCATTGTGCTCTATCATTTATCAAGCTTTTAGGAATATTATTAATTAAGAGATCGCATTCAACAACTTCCAAGAGTGTTCTCTTAGGCCTTCCTCTACCTTTCTTTATCGGACTCAAAGTTATATGTTCTACTCTTCTCATTGGTGCCTCCCTTGGTCTTCTTTGTACATGCCCAAACCATCTCAACCGATTTTCTACCATTTTTTCCTCAATAGGTGCCACCCTCACTTTTTCGCATACGTGCTCATTTTGAATTTTATCTTTACGTGTATGTCCGCACATCCATCGTAACATTCTCATCTCTGCTACTCCAACTTTATGCCCTTGCTGTCCTGTTAGATCCCAGCATTCACTACTGTATAACATTGCCAGTCTGATAGCAGTGTGATAAAACTTTCCTTTAAGTTTATTAGGCACCTTACGGTCGCAACTAATTCCTTTAGCTTTTCTCCAATTAAACCACCCAGCTTGAATTCTATGTGAAATATCTCTACTGATTTCGCCATCATTTTGAATAATGGCTCCCAAATATCTAAACTTTTCTACTTGAGGTATAATTTGATCTTTCAATTTCACTTCCAAATTATTGTCGAATAGTCCTTTATCAAATTTACAATATAAATATTCCGTCTTACTTCTACTCAGATGAAAACCTTTCGACTCCAATGTCCTCCTCCATAACTCAAGTTTGCAATTAACCTCTTCTCTTGTCTCTACTATAAGAACTATATCATCCACGAAGAGCATACATTTCAGAATTTCCCCTTGAATATATTCCGTCAAAACATTTAAGATCAAGTTGAACAAATAAGGACTCAGAGATGATCCCTGATGTAGTCTAATCTTTATAGGAAAATCCTTTGTTAGACCACTAGGCATTCTTATACTAGTTTTTATCCCCTTATACATATCTTGTATGGCTTTAATATAAGCAATCAGTACTCCCTTATGTATTTAGAAAATTGATTTTGGTAAAGGACTATTCAAAAATTGATTTTCTGCCTAAAATCTATATATAAATGTAATTGTGAAAGAGATTACAGATTGAAAATGCTGGTGATTTGTTTGGAACTAGTTATTATTATATGTGAATATGTTTGCATAGATTGTATAAGCATGATCATTGTGAGAGAGCAGGAGTACACCTTAAAAGGGTTATGTTGTATGAAATTTATATAGTACTTACTAGCATCTTAGTAGGCCTAGTGACCAGTTTTCTTATTTAAAAGTTCCAGTACTATCCATGATAAATTAGGCATACAACACCTCGGATATTCAAAAAAGGAGAAATTTATGGTTTAAGAATGGGTGAAAGTGCCTTTGGCTGGTTGCTTCTCATAATTGGTGAACTTAGGCTAGCCTAATCACATGAGCTTGGTCTTGTTAAATTATTAGCCCACAAATTCAATCAAAAAAAATAAAGTAGATATAAGGTAGAATGCTCAATTCTGCATTATTCTGAATGGAAATATCCTTATACTTATGTTATGTTGCTTGACTACCTGCTTTAATTGCCACTTCACATACTTATACTTCCCTTGCATGCTTGTAGATAGATTAAATTATTTGGTTACTGAGATGTTATTCTCACCTTTATAGTTATATTTTACAGGTGAAAACTCCAATAAGTGTAAAGGGAAGAAAAATACTATAAGGATTAGGAAAGATGTTTGTAGTATAGTCTCTTCTTTTTTTTTTCAAACTAGAAAAGTGCATTCATAAGCTAACCAACATTACAACGAGACCAAGTCATTTGGCAAATCCTTTTCATCATCTGTCACCTCTTGTGGGAG